GGTGCATTTGCATTCATTTATGTTATTATATTACCAACATATTATGGATGTATATCATCTCATGAAAAAGCCTATTGTCAAGAATTAGCATGGTATGTGGCTTTAGCAAGTAATTTTGCGACTGGTATTATTCTTCTTTTATTATGTATATTTGGTGAATTTATTCGACGAAATACACCCAGTGTTGCTTTACTTTCATCAATATCTGGTCTTGGATTTGTATTCTTGGCACTCAATGAATATTTATCTGTAGCAGCAACACCAATTGTAGCATATATTCCATTAGTAATTGTAATGCTTGGTTATTTTGGTGGAGGTAAGAATAAATTTTTTTGTCATCTTAAACTAGATAGTTTTCTACTCAATAGTCGTCGTAAGAAAGTATTACATAGGAGCAACTGTCCTTGATTAATTTCAGTGTTTTTTTTTTCTTATTTTGTTTTAGTTAAATATGGTCCATTTCCTGTAGCATTTCTTGCATTAGCAACAGGTACAGCTCTTGGTTGGATTACTTCACTTAATCAAATATCGGCCGTACGTGACGCAGCTTATCTTGTAAAAGGCTATCGTCCAGTTTTTCCAATCAAACAAATCTTTGATCATTTTAATTCTATTAGTGGTTATCTTTCAACAACTATACCTACAGCTATATCAATTGCTGTTGGAACTATACAATGTGTTGAATCAGCTAAACGAGCTGGTGATTTTTATCCTACACGAGAAGTTATGTTTGCTGATGGAACAGGAACATTAATTGCTAGTTTATTTGGATCAGTTTTTGGCATGACAAGTATGTATAACAAAAAAAAAACAAGTTATCTAGAAAAAAAAATAATTTATTCGATATGTGAAATTTCTTTAAGCTTATATTGGTCATCCAGCATTTAAAAAGATGGGTTCTAAACAAGCTTATATAGTTATTAATGGTCTTGCTTTTTTACCATTGTGTTTTCTTGGTATTACTGCTCTTCTTATTTCTATTATTGCTGTTGTATCAATTAATCCTATTGTCGTAAGTTTTTTTTTTTTGAATGCAGATAATTTTTAAAAATGAGAAAAATCAAAGTTCTATCTCGATTTGAAACATTGAACAAGATCTATAACAAAAACTTAGATATGTTTTTTTT